ACGATAATTTCACATTTTTGTATTAAATAGTTCATAACCTGACCATTGAAGATGGTTAATATGTAGTAAACAAAGATGGATGATTTAATATTCCATAGCTCTGTTCTTACCAAATCCATCTGACATCACAGTTGTTAACAGTTCTGACTCATCAAATGTTCATTTATTTTTTCTAGTAAAGTTCATCAAGAAACTTCACAAACATACTTTGGCTTTAATAGAACATAAAACCCATTCAATTGTTTATGGACCGATAATTTAGCAGCTGTAATCTAATTATCCTGATAATTCACAATAATATAAATTTCCCACTATCGTGCATCCCTAAATGAAAGGATTAAAGCTTCCAAACTTTTAGTTGATGTCCCCGGTGTTATACTGTTGAAACCATTTCCCCTCCCAAATACCTTTTATTTGAATATGTTTTCCAGTCCAGAAAACCAAGATCACTACTGAACCACAACATTTAGGGAATCTGGTTGTCTTTGGACCCCTGCAGTCCACTCAGTGGTTAAATTCAACAGGAAGGCAAAAGCACAAAAGACAATTCAAAAATACAGACTAGTTTCCTCAGCCATCTAACTGTACCAAATCAAGCTTTTGTGGCAGGTGACCATAGACCTTTGAGTGGTAGTGGATGTAATGACTGCTGATACAGAAAACAAAATAGATCTACAACAACAACAACATGACTCTACAAAAGGTACTCAGAAGGCAGCTTTCTTAAACAAATAACTTTATTAACATGTCAAATAATCTAACATACACATTGTCAACTGATTCTAGTTGACACTGCTTCCTCTCTCTTACTCTGTGCTGCTTGACACAGTATTGTAAATCACAGCACACTCTGCTTGCAACTTGGCAGTGACACCAATATATTACCACTATTATTTATTACTTTATATTATTAAAACAATGTTTTCATATTGGCACACACACACAACATATACGTCGATACCAATATGTTGGCCGATAATCTATTGAGCTCTATCTTAGATACAGTGATAGCAACAGGAGACTGAAGTTACCTTTAGACACTGTTAGTGCTGGAGACCACTGTGACCGTAGAATGTCCAAACAGATACTCCCATTGCTGTTTATATTTGGGTGATAAATCTTTGTTGTAAACGCTACCTATAAAAAAAAAAAAGTCACATTTTATTCACACAGGTATGTATCAGCAGAGAAGATTCACTTCCATAGTTACTGTACTAGTGTTTGCCTGGTAGCAAGAAGTTCTGTTCAAAGTGCGTCTCTAGTGCTGTTACAGTAATGAGGTCAAACGGTAATCTTAAATCTACAGTTATTGTTTTTCTTTATTACTTTTTTCTGGTGGTTCTCTGCCATGGTACCACTGCTGAACAAAGAGAGGAAACTTGCATTTCAGAATTGTTTGAACACAAACTACAAAATCTACTACTAGATCATCATCTAGTTCAGTTCAAATGTGAAAGGACTCAAACAAACATATCCATATATATACAAACAGTAATAAATATAGAATTATTTACCTCTAAAAAGTACATTTTAAAGAGCTCAAGCAAAAAATACCACCAACAACCAAAAATGATAAATGGCTTCTCAATGAGAGCCACGCAAATTTGATTTTAAATGTGTTTCATATTTGCGTGAAACTGGATGTCAAAATGTTTGCTGTGTTAAAGCTGGCAGCCTGAGACTGAGAGATTAAAAGTGGCCAAAACTGAACGGAAAATAAAGAGATGAGGAAAGGTCTTGTTAGATGTTAGATATCGATCAAACAGCAGCTTTGGAAAGCTAATGCCAACTTATGTTTTGTTTTTGAGCAGCTCCTTCAATTGCTTTTTGCATTGCATTGTGGGAGCATAGTGTGCATACTCAAAACTTGCTAAGAATCAGTACGTAACATGGAATTTGGACATGGCAACAGTTTTAATATCATTTAGAGCCCCCCAGACAAAGCTTGGGGTTTCCCACTCCTCACCCCACATTAATTTACTTGCTTAGTTTTGCTCAATTCCTCGATGCCTAAGGGAAAAATCATAGAATGCAGAACTACATAATTTATGATAGGAAATGTTTTCAGGTTTGCTGATCGCACAACAACCATGATAAATTCTACAATATGACAGCACAAAGCTTTGAGTAACCACAGCAGCTCTTACCTTCGGTGGCTTGAATGGGTAGTCGGTGGGGAAGTGGATTGTGAGAAAGAACACTCCTCCTTGGTAAGGACTGTCACCCTGACATAAGACATGTGAGACATCGCTGTCAGTAAAAAACATCTGTCAATGAAAAGCATTCAGCTGGCACTAAATGACTGACAATCAGCACGTTACAGTCACCTTATGATTGTGGTTACATAGCTGGTTACCAGCTCTGTTGTTACCAACCAGCTGTCCACATTGAACAAGTGAAGTTTCTAATTACAAGCCAATCACACACACAATACTGAGAGACAAATAACAGTAATTTAGGACCAGTGTGTACGACTTAGTGGCATCAAGCAGATTGCAAAAAACTGAATACTGCTCGCCTTTCAAGCTTGTAGGAGACTGTCCGCAATAAAGACTATCTAGAACAAGTGACATCAGCTAGGCACATTATCTGGAAGAAAAGACATGGGAAACGTTGGATTCAGAGTAGTTGGAATTCTACGTTTTTTGCTCACAGGGATCACTTTGACTTTTTTACCTCATTGTTTGACACTTTGGCCTTGTTTAATATTAAGCACTGACATTATAACACTAATGACAGAAACTAAGAGCTTGTTTACACCAACAGCATCTTGGGTGGACAGATATAATCATGTCAGTTCACACCTGGTGTTAGAGAGTGTTTTATAGGGTTGTACCCTACTCAGCATCCAATATTGCTGTTCTTCTTTTTCAGTTCAGCAGCACAGTAGCCTGTCGTTTTTACCTGCACTGTCAACAGGAGAAACGCCGGTGCACTGTGGGATTTTATTACTGAACTTTATGAGAAGGAAACACACTGCTTTTTAACTTTTTTTTCATCACAGATAACGGAGAAAGTAAAAGTGTGTCCTGCTTGCATCAGGTAGCATCTCTCCAAGCTGTCAGCCCAACAGTCACTCACAGTGGATGGCAGTAGAGGACACTGTACCAACATATAGCCAACACACTGGAAGATAACTAAGTAAGAAATAACTTACTGTGTAACATTTCCCAAATTTTTCGTTTCCATAATTAACAATCTGCCATAGACAGCGTTTCACAAAATGTATGAAGTTATCCCCAATCAATAAGTGTGTGATTTTTTAAGGGAGTCTGGGGATATCGTGGTCACTAGTACAGTGGTCAAATCAGCTGAAACTGTGTGTTCACAAACATCTGCTGCTGATCTTAGCAGGTAAAGACACAAAACACATCATTTGCATTACAGTGAACTAAATAGCATTTTGTGTACTTAAAGGACATCAGTTGAGTAGGTGTTCATACTATGTGGCCCAGGATGCATTAGCTACAAAAGATATGTGGTCAAATGCATTCCAGACCACCTCAGCAAGAGGTTTGAGTGATCAGATCACAATGCGTCTCAGTGGTCGTATTGTGAACTGTCCACTTGTGATCAGATCATCCAAGATGCATGCTAATACCAGGTATGAACAGGCTCTTATAAAAAGCATAAAACCTCCCCTTTAAGGGTAAGCCAGCTATGTAATACTGCAGGGTTATCGAAGTTGCTTTTCTGACTGTGATAGAGCTCCCATTAGAAAATGTTTCAGTTTCTCATCAGCAACATTGTTTCCCCTCATTCAGAATGTATTTGGGAGGCTTACCTAAATAGATCGTTTTGTTTATATTCACTTATAATGCTTAAAAATGTGTATATTTCCAAGCTTAAAGTCAGTTCAATAGCTTGATCCCATGTCACACTTGCTGTTAACAGTGTAACAGCATTGAGCCAAAGTAATATGAGTGCATGCAAAACAATTGAAAAAAAATGCAAAATAAGTCCAAACAAATCATCACCACAGTCTTTCAGGAACATGTAAAACAATAGTAAACAATCTGAGTACCCATAGCTACTGAGAGGCCTTTTCTAATGTAGCACAGACACAGAGAGCACTGAAAGCCGTAAGTGATGCCATGATACTCACCGGACCCATTATGGTCGCCTGCCAATGAAACACTAGAAGCAGTTAGGGGAGAAAAGCAGAGACACAGGAAAAAGTAAGTTGTACACGTCACACACACACACACACACACACAGTGTTCATCAGTTACAAAACACTGTGCCTACAGAAGCTCAGACCCCTGCCAGCTGTCTCTATTACGTACAGGTAAAGCTAGCCTTACTACTGTAACCAGATGATCACAGGGCTGCCAACAACAGCCACTCCTGTCAGACATTGAACTGTGGTGTATTCCCAGTTCTAGTCGCTTCCAAACTAAGTTGCTATATGAGAATGGCACATAATTGATTTACCTTTGGTAAATCCCTCGGCCAAATTTTGATTGTCCAATCATAGCTTATCAACTTTAACTAGGCACAGCAGCACTGTGCCAAAGGGTGGCCAGGTCGCTTCGTTCAGTTCAGTTCAAAGATTCATAGTTAAATTCAGTTTTTTCAAAAACTAAGCAGTTGCATCACTGACGGAAGTACTGTTCAAAATGATTTTTTTTTAGAAAAGCTGCATTGACAATCAGGCATTTTAGGCCACAACAAGTCTTCAGTTCACTAGTACGTTCAGTCCGTTTGTGGTCCAAGCTCAGTTCAATATACAACTAGCCCATACAGGCCAGTAGCTCAGCAGCTTATTATTAATGATCAGATTGTGATTGTTTACTGTGCCTTTTGTGGTCTTTTAACATGCTTTCAACAAGGAAGTAATGCACTGTGAATCACAACAGAGCCAACAACAGCACACCCAGTCTCCAGAGAGTAGCTCCACCGCTAAAAGCTACTCCTTCAGTCAGCTGGTGATTCAATATAGTCAGTTCAGTCTAGAGACTTGTTCATCGCGTTGAGCATAGGGGTTGATTTTTTGCCTTTCCAAAACCAATCCAAACGTCAAACTAAAAAACTAAACTCACTACATGTCGCACTAAAATTCAAGGTGCTTTAAGGTGTCAAACAGAACTGTCCTCATCATGATACATGGGTTAACACAGCAGCACCTCCATGTCCATACCTTCAGTCCCACAAAACATACTGCTGTTACATAAGTGGCAAATATTTAACTAAGCAGCATTTATGGGCAGAATTTCCCAACAATGGCTACACTACTGGGTATCTGCAACATCTGACCTGCACTCAAAGTAGTTGCTGACAAAGCTTTGTGGTGGCTCAGTTAGCTGTACATGCAACACCCTGGATTGGAATTTGGACTGGAAACTTCCAACCCTTCTTTCTCCCCTAAGACTGTCTCTCTTATCAAAGAAAAAAAATCATATTAAAAAAACTCTCAAGTGGTTGTCTCTAGTTCTAGGACAACACATATTTCTACAGTTGCTTATATGTTTTTAAGTGGAAATTATTGTTTTGAGAAAGGCATTTTTGCACTTTATATTTCCACCATAAAATGCCCCACAAGCAAGAGGAAGCAGTCATTCTCTAATACACTTAGGTGAGAAAGAGTGACATGAAATGTGTGCATGTGTACTCACAGTCATCCCCTACTGGTCCAGCAGAGCACTGTGCTGGAGGGTCTCTCTGCAGGTCCTGCAGCTCCTGCTCAACACAGCAGAAATACTGCTGTTAGTTATTCAACAGGTACTGATCTAATCTGTTTATGAGCCCAGCTGCAGTGACTAATGCTGATAATATCTGCAAAGTTTTGTTGCTCTATTTCACACAAACCTCCCTTCATACTTACCAGGTGAGATTTTCCAGGAAAGGTGTATCAGGAACAGATACTAGCCAGAAAACAATCTTAAGATAAACTAGCTTTAGCGGGTGCTCTCTGCCACATAAATGATTATTTATTAATCTTTTTGTCTTTAAGAAACCTTCTTGAAAGCCACAGAAGATATAAAACCGCAAATAGTAAACTTATGTGTGCAAAGTTTGTGGAGTTCCCCTTTAAAACAACAGTTTTTGTAAAAAAAAGGTTTAACAAAGTAAGGTTTCTGTACTGGTGTTGCTGGTGTCTCAGCCCTGATTTTGGATGAATAATTTCATTGTGATATTGCCAACATTTACAAAGCACAAGAAAAATATGGCAGGTTTAAGATAATCATTTGTTATGTCATTCAGTAAGAACCATAAGCAGCATTGGGTAAATGATGTGGGTGTGACAGATAAAAACATTTAGCAACTACACAGGAATATATTTTGGCCTGCATCAGTTTTCACAGTGCCACTTCACCAGCAAGCAGACAACCCTTGTTGATGTTTCAATAGCAATAACTTCGTGCCTGCACTTTCCCTCAGCCCCCCTGTACTGTCCTCCTCAGCTCAGGTTACATCCTGGTTGGAAAGGACCAGCATATAGGGAAAGAATAGCTTTCAAGATCTTCCCTAAGAGCTATAGGCATGTTAAAGCTGTCATAAAATGCACACAGGTTGGCTAAATCATTTGTATAATATTATATTTCTTATTCTACAATGCAGATTTTGGCCTTCATAAGTACTTGTGGTTATTTACAAGTGCCTGATGCTTTTCAGAGGTTGTAATATTGTAATATGGTATAAAAGTGTTGTCTTTCCCTGGGTTTAACGGTCAGTGTCTAGGAGAAGCTACAGTGGCTGTGAACTTTTGATCTCTATAGCTAATTTCCCCGTTCATGACAAATGTATGGGGGGTAACCAGGCTTCATTCAGCCTGCCTCAGCACCACCTCTTTGCCCAGTTTCAGATGAGCAGGGAGCGAGTAGAGCTGACCACAGGGAGCTTCACAACGGCTCTTCAAAAACCTATGGGTGATGTCACAGAGACTACATCCATTTTGAATTATACAGCCTATGAAGGCGACCCATGGTGCCTGTATACTTAAAAAAAGCTCATTCCAAGGTAACAAAAACATAATGCTTCTTATTTTCAGATTATTACACACTAATGAAAATATACCTATGAGTATTATATTCCAAATATTCAAATAGATCGTCCTAAATGTTACTGTGCTAGCTGTTATATTAGTTGCCTTTACCTACTTGATCATTATGTACACATTTTTTGAATATCAGTGTGTAAATATTTTGTGAAACAACTGAGTATGGATATCGATTTTGTCCATACCGCCGAGCCCTACTAGGCAGCTCCCCCTGGAAGCACTAATTCAATACAGGGGTATGATAGCAAAACAAACGCAGAAACAGCTAGAAATGAATGGCACTGTATGTTTTGAAGTAACTTTCATAATCACTACAGTACTTGTCCACCAAAAGGACAACAGTACAAATACAACAGGGCTGCTGTCTGATTCCTTAGTCGACTTAGAGAACACATTGCAGCACAGGAGACAGTGACAGGTTGACATGGAGGCAGGCACAGTGCTGACTGAGCTAACTTGGCTATTTGTTAACGAGTTAGCATGAAACTTTGAAGTTGTCATTGGCTGCTGTATGTGTTCTGAGAAATGTCAACAAAATGAATATTTCTACAAACGTTACAAAGTTCGCCAGAAGTTGTTTTAATGCGGGACAGGGTTGAAATCTTTCTTAATAACCCATTTTTTACGGAAAGGAATTCTAACGTTAGCCTCTGCTGGGCCAGTTAGCTAGCTACCATTAGCTGCCAACCACAGCTAGCTAATCAAACTTACCTTCTGTATTCTTTTCAGCGCCATGTTGACTGACGCAGCTGGCTGCTCGGATCCCTTCCGCTCGCTCTTTACTGGAATTTGAATATTATTACAGGCGAGGTCAGTGGCTGTAGTTTATTCCATGAGTACTTCGACAGCCAGGGATGTGTATGTGTTTTTATAAAAACCTCTTTTGTTTCCGCTTTCTTCTGTTTACGGTCGCTCCTCCGAAGTGGATCATGGGAAACGTAGTTCTGAATGTTGCAATTGGTTATAACAGTGAATACATGGAACTTTTAAGCCAGTTGGAGGTTTCTGTACATTTAGGTAACAATTGTTTTAACATTTTACGGATATGTAATATGTATTTCCCAAATAAGTTGAATGCAGCACTGAAGGGCCATATAACACATACATTACAACAAACTTTTCTGCAAACCATGCATCCACTGGTTTCCATCTGTTTCTCTATAATATGCTCATATTTGTGGAAGCTTGAGGTTTTTTAATTTTAATTCATCACAGTTAAGTCTGAATTAAAGTTTTGTCCAAGTTACCTTTCCTTCCCTTTCCTTTATTCCTTTATTTGTCGCACAATGGGGAAGTTTACTGGGAGCAGTGCTGGTTG